GAATCAATAAAATTGAATCAATAAAATTGAATCAATAAAATTAGTTAAACATAGTTAATAAACATAGTTAATAAACATAGTTAATAAACATAGTTAATAAACATAGTTAATAAACATTAATTATAAAAACTAGGGCCTCGCAGCGAGAACGCGGCACCTCTGGTCGTCATCAGGCAGCGGGAGAAGAGGAAGATGAGGCCGTTGATGGTGAAGAAGGAGCCTCCAACCGCGGCCTCGCGGAGCCAGGCGGTTCTGGGGCCTGCGAGAGAGCGCGGAGGCCGGGACGGAGGCCGGGACGGAACGCGCGTTTAGGTGCYTTTTCAGCGATTTTTTGGGTGGAAAAACTCACTTTCGACCTCCACGCGGACGGGGCGGCTCTCCCGCGAGCGGACGGTGCGGCCGGCCCAGAAGATGAAGTAGGCGCACGTGTAGGAGCGGGCGGCCGCGGCGACGCGGAGGCCGGCGGCCCTGGCGCCCGCCGTGGGCACGGAGACGGCGAGGCCGCGGTCGCCGTAGAACTGGATCTCGCGGACGTGGAAGGCCGGCGCGGAGGGCGCGGAGCAGAGGAGCGCCAGGGGGTCCCCGGGGGCGTAGAGCGCCCGCCGCGGGGTCGCGCTGAGGACGGGCGCCGCGGGAGCCTCTGCAGAGGCCGCGCGGAGGCCGCGGGAGCCGAGCGAGAGCAGCGGAGGGCAGGAAAATAAATAGGAATGGAATGGGGATGTTTGGAAATTGAATAGGAATTCAATGGAAACATTTGGAAATTGAAAGGAAATGATTAAATGGAATGTAATAGAAGTGGAAATAATTAGGTGAAATAGAAATGGAAAATAAGTGAAAATAAAGTGGAAAAGAAATGAAAAATGAATTGAGAACGGGGAAAGAAAGAACGGGGAAAGAAAGAACGGGGAAAGAAAGAACGGGGAAAGAAAGAACGGGGAAAGAAAGAACGGGGAAAGAAAGAACGGGGAAAGAAAGAAATTGAAGTAAATTCAAAGATAAATTAAAAATAAAAAGAAATGAAAAAAAGAAATGAAAAATAAATGAAAAATAAATTGAAGTAAATT